CTGAGCAACCAAACTTGGCCGACAGGTACATCGAGCATCCTGAAGGCTCTTATCTCTATCAGATATTATGTCATCGCATTGCTTAGCAACCACATGCCAACTTGCAAAAACGACATTTTTAATAATTATTATGCATGCACAGTATGTTACAATACCATCCTGTCATTTTGATTTCACAACAATAACACCTGATTGAAAACTTGAACTTCATCTGTGGAGATGACGTCAGACTGCCAGCTGAAATGATCTATCATTTTATTTTACTGGAGATTCACCAATTAATCAAAGGGAAGAAAGCAGCCACAGCGATCCTGTTTTAAGTGATGATTGAAGATTTTCTCCTGTTTTTGTCACAATGGGAATGAATCCGGCAGAGCAGACGCAGACAGACAGGTCCAGCTGAGACTGACAGAAAACAGAGACACTCACTGACAGGCAGGAAGGACAGAGAGCCAGACGAGTCTGTGACCTTTTCGAACATTCAGTTTAAATATCAAAGACATCCAAAATGATTTTTTCTTCTGCTCAGGATGAGATTCTGTCTCAAAACAGGTAGGGTGAGCTAGCTAACTGCAGGCTGTAACAGTAGGTGAGATCCAGAGAAGGATTTTTGTTTAAGCTAAAGAAGCATTACAAGTTTTACAAGTTTTACAAGTTTCACAAGACAAAAGTTAACGATTGGTTGGTGTGACATTACTCTGCACCATGTTGGACTTTTAAAAACTCGGCACTGTCCAGTATAAGGCAAAAGAGTTTGAGGCTGCAGGGGCAACGGTTAAGCCATGCTAGGCTAGCTAGCCTTTAGCAGTGCTAGTGGTGATGAGTTTTCTGAGAAATAAAAAAAATGGATTTGTTGCTTGTGTCATATCAAATTGTTATTTTTAAGCTCCTGGAGCATCACATCAATCACATCTTGCTGTAAAATTAGCTTTAGCACCCAAACCTGCACTTCCACTAATGTCCACTTGAGGCCGTCTCCAAAAATGAGTCAGTCCTCATTGACGCCCATATTAAAATAATACGAGT